CCGGAGCGAATCGAAGGGCTGCACGCTTGTTGCGTTTGATTCAGGATTTTGTTTTTCTGATTTTCACTACTCTGCGACACGCCGCGCCACCGGTTCTGCTGCTGCTACTGTTGCTGTTACTGCTGCCTGTTGGACGGAACGAGCATATAACGTGCGCGGAGTGTGTTGGTGGATCGTTTCAAGGTGCGAACGTTTTTCTTCTGACGCGTCTCGCGCGATTTCCTTCGGGACGCTGAATCGAGATCGTCGCTTGCGGTTTAGGGTATGCCGCAACGGACGTCGCTCGAAGATGAAATCGTTGTCGCAAACTTTCAGCTACGCAACGATGGAACGCATCGAGACTTCACGCTTCGGGAACGAACGATTCGACGGAATCGCGCGTGCCTCTCCGGCTTCGGTCAGCTTCGATTTGAAACGTAGCGAGCCATACGGCAACGATTTCGTCGTCGCGCGGTGTCCGGTTACGATATAGGGTTACCCGCTCGTTCCTTCGTACGGTATTACACGTTTTCGCGTGTTCTCCGATGAAGCATCGTTTCCGCGAGTTGCGTCACACGCGGAACGGCCGTAGCCGTCCGCGTCGGACGCCCGCGTTCGTCCGGCAACGACGGAATGAAATGCAACGGGACGATGTACGAAACAAAGTGAAAGCAATCACGAAAGTAATTACCCGTTTATCTCTACAGGATTATCAGAGCACACGAGCGTATATGAGCGAGCCAATGTAGAAAGTTTTCATTAAATTCATAGTAGACGAGTGAAACTTTTTTCATTCCAATCCAAACCCCATGCGACCAGTGGTCCGCGCGGGAAGGTGCCCGGCTCTACCGATTTCCATTCGCGAAACCGCGTTCGCGACCGAAAATAATAATCCCGCGAGCCGGCTCGAAAGCCGGCGCCGATTCGATCCGATCCGATCCGATCGATCGATCGGGGTGAAAGTGAACCGCCCGGTAGCCTGGCTGTTGTCAACGGTCCCCGCTAATCCTTTAATCGATACAGCCGTTACCTAGCCGGCGAACTTCTTTTTTCCGAAGCCGATACCGAGCCCGCGTTCGCGTTAACTTTCTCGAGCGGCGTTCTCCTTTCGCGCTCGCCTTCGACGCGTCGTCGCCCTCGGCCCTCGACGATAATGCTCGCAGAGGAGAATCGATTCGCTTCTCGATTCCGACGACGGAAAAAGCGCATTCCTCAGCTGCAAGGGTTAACGGTTTGTCGCCGACTCACTGGCTCGGCTTCGCGCAAGTTTTCAATGTCCTTACGTAATTCCGCCGTCTATTGGGCAACCCGTCATGGAAATGTCAGCGAACCGCCCACAAGCGGAATGGTCGCGCCGCGTGTAGGACACGAGCGCAGCCGCGGACACACATCTTTCTCCTCTGAAAAATTCGCAGCCTTTGTCCGCGGGATGAACATCCGTCATCGCGGGTCGGGGGACGGGGATCGGTCGTGTCGGCCGACGTCGTTTCGGTCGTCGTTCTCGCGGATACGCATGGAAACGAGAATCCACTCGATAAAGTAACGAGCAAGGTATCGGGGGGGTTTCGATTCGATGGTCGCCGATCGTCTCGCCGGGTAAGTGACGCAATCGTCTGCCTCCGACCGCGGACGTCACGCTTATTCTCGTCTCGGGAACGGGGAAAACAACGAACCCGAGCGGTTACAATCGGCATTTAAATGGCTGCGAAATCGGCGGATAATTCACCGGGAACGATTATGATTTTTAACGAGATCAGCCTTCTCTCGCTTTAGATTCCTAACGCGTCGAGACCTCGATTCGTTCGCTTTTCTATTCACAATGGTGCGTTTCTCTCTCCTGTTACGATTCATTTCTCGATTATCTCGTTTCTTTCGGTGGCCCGCATATCTGACCGACACGTTCTAATCACCGCTGAAAGATACGACGCCGTGGACGAATAAATAAATGAATAATTCACGCGAAAAGGATACGGGCGATTTCCAGGTGGCCGTGTCTCGGGAGAAAAACACAGCGGCGCGGCCCGTGGTCCCTTTCACTCGTGAGTCAGGACGAAAAATATGTTAATTAGACGACGGGACCGAGCGCCCGGGAGATCATTATTCAGGATTACTATATATAGACAGCTAGAGAGACGTCGGCTCGGCGTATTTTCCATCGCGCGGTGCCTCCTCTCTCGTCTACTCGATATTTGGCGATGCCGCGAGCCTGCTCCTCGTGGGCGGACCGACCATATATGCCGGCCGGAAGGTTCTTGAACGCATCCAACGCGCCTCGGCCGTTTCCATCCTCGCCGCTTCCTTTTATCTTCGCTCCGAGCCGGCGAAATGTCGCGCGGAATCGATTCCCCGCGCGGCGAAGGCGTGGACGCGCTCCTCCGCGCGGCCGATACGCTTCCACCGCGGCCGCGGGACGCGAGCGTTTCGAAAGCGGAATCGTGGAAATGCCGGCGAGCACCGTCGTCGGACGGCGACGTTACCACCGACGTTACCACCGACGCGGCGAGCAATTAAAAACTTTTCCCAATTACCAAGCGGACTCGCCGTTCGACCTTGTCCCGCTTCGCACGCAATTACGACCACGGCACGAGCGAAACTATGATTCAATTTTACCTCGATCGCTCTTTTTTTTCTCTCTCTCTCCTTTTCTCTCCTTCTCTCGTCGCGTTCGTTTTATTTTAATCGAGGATGCAAGACGTCTGCGTCGAGTCCCTGTTTCGATACGTCGCCGAAGGCGACTGACATTTATGAAGATGATCCAGACCTTTCACCGTGTTGCAATTAGAGTGACCCGACGGCTCGGTTTGGATCATCTTTATTCAGTTACTCGGGGCTTTCGAGAGTAAACCCGTTTATTGCGTGTCCGTAAAACAGAAGCCTCGAGTGACTGCAACCTTTCAGCCGGTGAAAGCTTCCCGGGTCCAACGTCTTCACCCGGCTGTCCGCTCGCCTCGATCTAACGCGCGGCTTTTTTCTTCGTTCGCAGGGTGTCCTGATCACGGACCGCGAGGAGGGCCAGCCGTGCTTGCAGTGCAGGGAGACTTGTTCAGGATTCTCGCCGCACACGTGGAGGTAAGCTTCGTTGCTTCGTTACTTGGACGCGCGGTGCCGAGGACAGGGAAAATAGACGAAACAGAGGGCAGAGTTCTCTGGCTCCGTCTGGACGGTCCACTATGCAAAGATGATAAGGCGCCGGCGCGTTCCGGACGCCGCGCGCTATCTTTGGGGGAGATCTTCGATCTCATCGAGCCGGTTCGACGGCTCCGGGACTGATACCGGGCGCGTTTATTCACCGATAATGCCGTCCCGCTAAAATACAATGTCAAGTAAATTATTATACAACGCGTGGGATCGGCCGGAGAAGATACACCGCTCGGAACATTTTAGTCGCACGGATCGTGCCTTTGATTTCCGTTAATTCCGATAACTCCGATAATCGAATATTCACCGGAGAACCTTTAGCGAGAGTCCGCCAAGATCCTGCAATCAGCTGAACGGTTAAATTAATCGGATAAGCGAAGGAATTATCACCCGATCAGTTGCTAGTCTACTTAATAAGTCGCCGGTTAACCTACAACCGAGGCTGACACATTTCGGGGTCGACCTACCCGCAGTTTCCCACGTTTGTTGACGCTTGTCCGCGATCCGACTCGATTGATCGATGAATCCCGTCGCCCCTCAATTAGCTGCACACCGTTTAATGCGGTATATCGCCGGTCGTGTCCCTCTAATCAAGATATCGGGTTTCCCCTCCGCCGTAATTATCCCCGTCCATTAGCTCGAATGACGGAGGAGACGCGGAATTTTCAGGCGTTCGATTAACTGTAAAGGCCTGACCCGCCGCGCGGAAAAGAAAACCGCGCGCGTTCGCTGAAACTTCAGGGAGTCTCGTGATATCGAGCGCGTGTTCGCGCGAGCGCGAATCCGTTCGAAGATCGAGGTCGCGGGACAAAGAAAGCGAGAGGCGAGGAATCAATGGTCGATCGGCGAGACCGTATCCTTCGCTCGGATCGTGCTGGAACTGTTAACCGGGAGAGGCTGTGCGCGCCGTATCCATTATCCGAAGCGTAACTGAGCAGCGGTGAAATTACCGACCGGTAATTACCCTCCGTGACTTACGGGCCAGCAATGCGGTAATAACGAATTAATTGGCCTGTGGAGAGACGGTGAAGGATGACGGCGCGGCGCGCGGGGGAGGGGCGCGGCCGGTCGCTCCTTCCAGCATCGCATCGCCCGAAGGAGAAAGGTGGGACAGCCGTGCACCGCCCGGTGCATTTATAGCACCGCGGAGATGGATTCACAGTTATGCCACCTAAAGCCATTCGAAGCCGGCCGAACGCGACTAAAACGACCGAACGAGCTACCTGGAGCGCTCGCTCGCTCGCTAGCGCGTAATGTCGCCTCCGATCGTCGCGCGTCTATATCCGGACTTTCGAATTCAATTTTATAACGCGACGCGCGTGGGAAGATCTCCACGGTGCCATTTAGAGAGCCGGTCGAGCCGAACGGAACGCGCTGGGACTCGATGAAACTGATAAAAAGAACCTTATCGATCGCGCGGGCTCTTTAATAGAGTCTCCCGCGAAACTATCGGGGGAGGCCTTTGAAATGCTTTCGGATAAACCTAGACTCTATTACCTAGATTCCGTGTTATTTTTTCCCGTCCGCCGGCCGGAGGGGAGCGTGGGCGCACCTTTCCCCCCTTCGCCGCGTGACGATGTACGAATCGACCTCGTAGATTTCGGAAAACAGGGTCGTTTCGCTAGGGGCGCCGTGACAATTATTCCGGGGCCGGTGGCGGGACATAGCTCGCTTCAAAAATAAATCGTTGACACGAGATGAGGCCTAGCCGGTGTCGCGCTGTTTCGCTCGCTCGAGGTAAATTTAGATAATTAATTCGCGACCCTCGATCGACGCGCCGACTCTTTCTCCGCGCGACCCGGTCGCGAGGAAAGCGCCGCGAAATGGGTTTCCGTACCGGACGGCGCGCGATTCCGTTTCCAGCCGCGCCGGTTCGGCCTACATTCCTCGCGATGTCCCATTCAAGCTTCCGCGGCGAGACCGTCGGGCCCAGAAATAAGTTTCAAGGAATCCAGCCAAACTCGAGTCGCCCGTGGATCGGATCTTTGGCGTGATTAACCCTTCGCCGACGGAGATTCTCTGAATACAGAATATTTCGCGGATTCCGGTAAATTAGACGTCGAGTGCTTAAACGGTGGAGAATGAGGAACCTATGTACCGATTTCCCGATGTTTGAATAGTTAAATCATACTTTCGCAACTCGGTATTCCAAACGTGTATGTTTGATCTCGGCGAAATGTCGACACTCGTCCGCACAGGGTTAAGGGTCGGACAGCGAGGAACGTTGGGATTGGTCGGCCGTCGCGAACCACTGGGAGGATCCCTTGACGAATCGAATTCCCAGTGAACCGCGGCTCCTTATCGTGTTATCGCGTACAAGTTTCTGCTCCGCCTAGTCGATCACTCGGAACGACGGAGAGTCGTAATCCCCGTTTCCAGGCGAGGATTCATCCATCAGAAACAGAATCCGTCGGACATTTTATTTTCATCGATGTTAACGCGGCCGACCGCGCCTCCGTTTACCGAGGTGCAGCTCCTCTACGCCTATGGACGTCGATAATTTACGCAATAAAAGCGAACGGGCAGGCACCGAGCCGAGTCGAGAGAAGTTCCGATTGTTGTTCGACACGTGCTGGACTCGTATAGACGTCGTCCCGGCCCTGCGATCAATCCCCATCGGTTCCGCGAGCTTATTCGAGCCGGACGCAGGAAATATGTGTGCCGCGGCTGATTTACTGGCGAAGAAGTGGCGGATAATCTAGCAGCGGGCAGCTGTTTATCGAAGACAGCCATCCGTCCGCTCGTCTCCAGGTCCCTCGCCGCGGAGCCGAGCGGAGCACGTGCTCGTATTTATAGATTTATCAGTTGCCAAACACCGGCGGAAGTAATGCGAAAGCGTGTTAATCAACGTGCCCGGGTCTTCTCTATCCGACCGCGGTCTTAATTCGTGACTGCGTTTCAACGATAACCGGCCGATCTCCGGGGTTTTACGAGCCGACGGCGAACGGCTCGGCCAGAACCACGTGGCCCCTACTTGCGGCTTCGTTATTCTCCAAACAACGATACCGTAGTCTATCCACGTTCTAGCCAGGAGCGACCTAGGTCTAGGCTAAGCCTAGTCGCAGGCCTTGAACACTCTGGATCTAGCGTAATCTAGGTTTAGCACGGTTCGAGCCGAACGCTGTTTAACCTCGACACGAGCTGGACTCGCGCGTGGGCGTAACAGAGACTCGGCGCGATAGATGGATCGCGTTAATTCGCAACCGCGAATTCGAGACTGCGACGAACACCGAGGCTTTCCTCTTTGCCCGAGTTTAGTTCTCTCGAATGCCTCATGGAAATCGGACCAGACTCCCGTTGTCTCCGCGACTCGCACGGGCTCTCCATGTTTTCGTCCGCGTTTCAACCGTTTAGAGGACGCGAGTGAAACGTGTAGGCCCGGAGCAGCATGTTTCAAACTCGTTACTCATCAACGGCCTGCTACCAATGACGGTCGCGGCGCGCGAGACCTCTTAAACGGTCGTTGAGCGTGCGTGCCACGGCCGCGAGCTGCTTTCCAAGTCGCGATTGGATTACGCGTGTACCATTAGCCCAGAATCGCGCAGCCCTAATTCGATACCGCGAGGAAACTAGGGTACGACGTTTCCCTCAATCTCGCTCGGAAGAAACCCGCGACGGTTTCTCCTTTCCGCCATTGTACTCCGCGAAATCCGTCCAGTGTCCAGGATCCTTCCGGAGCCGGAGGCCTCGCGAGCGACGGCACAGAGAAATCCCCTCGAGAGGAACTCTCGCGGTAGTTTTGCTCTCGAACGGACGGCTAGTCGGACGCGCGGCGTGTTGCTCGCGCGAGCGCTGCGCGGACAAGCCGTGAGTCATTCCCGAGTCCCGAGCGAGCTGGCTGCCTCGGCCGGCCGGCCGACTGGCTGCAACGCGCGCGTCGGACGGCTCGCACGTGCTTCGCCGATATGTGCCAGTGCAGGGTCGACGTCGAACAGCACCGACGCGCGAGTACGTTTTCGCCTTTTGACCGCGACCGTCGTCCCGTCGCGTTGGCACCTGTCGACGAGCAACCAACGATGCCGCGATCGACGTTCCTCCGCGCTGTTCGCGCGGTCTGCTCGTGATTCCTCGTCAAGCTTTGTCGTTGTCGTCGTCGCTAGACCGCGGTTACGCAAGCCTCGCGGCCACGAGTGAGTGCGTGGGACGATTCGAAGCTGCTCGGACCTGGGATCGGTGCGTGTACCTGTTGCGCCAGTCGGTTCGTCGCTGGGAAACCGTTTTGGAAGAGGAAAATGGATCAAGTTCTGTGGAAGTGGTGATCCGATGGAACGTTCACGTTTCTCGTAGAGAATCTTCGTCTCTTCGGGCACGATCTACTTGAAATAGTATCTCCTTGGAGTACCAGGTTCTTTCATTTGTTTTCCACGATGCCTACGAGTGCACGGGTGAATCATTGTTAACGCGGAAGCAAGGTGCAGTCGTTAGCAGTAAGAAATTAGAATCGGAGCAGCGGTAGCACCTGTTGCTCCGTGTCCTCCGGTCGCTCGTTTCGCAGAGAATATTCGTCGCAAGGTAAAACCCGACGCGAGATGCTCGAATTCGCGCCGCGCGGCCCAATACCATGCCCAAGAATCCGCGGCCTGCTGCAATTAACCGTGTCGGCCACGGATTACGACGCGGCCCGCTCATCAGCATGCGCGTCGCAGCTTCTCCTCTTAACCGGACCGTTCTTAAGGCAGCTGTAAACAGCGCGATACACGCGCGATCCTCGTTGGCGTCCGTGTTCCGAGGAGATAGGATCTCCGCCGCGGAACAGAGAACCTTTTATACGAAAAACGGACTGTATCTCGGCCCGTTTGCCATCCGTTACGCTCGCGCGTCGCGTTATTACGCGCGTTAACGTGTCCGCGTACCGTTAACGCCGAGTTTCTTCCATACTTGGCAGCGAGGAACGCCGGGTTACTCGACTTTCACGCGGATTTTCGAGAAGA